TTCTTGTACATTTCTTCCTATACCTATATAAAAGTTTCTCTGTGGCATATACTCAGGAGTCAAATTGTTGTGTGTTAAAAATGTACATTTTGAACTTTAGTAGAGTAAGCCACCTTGTTTTTCAAATGGTTTTAGTAATCTCTGACAGCTTCTATTACTCCACATCTTTGCCCAAACACTTGGTATCATCTAACATGTTTTGACTTTGGTGAGTTCATAATAATAACAACGGTAAAGCCATTTCCACCTGGTTAGCAAAATTGAGCTTATAACTCAGGTTCATCAAATTCAACTTATTCTTTCCAGTCTCCCAAGAGAAGGATCACTTGCCCAGAACTAAGCCTCCTTCAGTCCCTTTGGCCCCAGCTCTTTGTCCCCAACCTCAGAATGTCCCTGCTGCCCGCATGACTGCACATTGCATTCATCACTACAGACCTCAAGCAGAGAAAGATCTTTTCATGTGTGTATTCTTTTCATTCACATCTTAGGTGGGTGAAAGTGAGAAATGAGTCAGAACCTCAAAGAGAAATCGGCCTTCCAAGTGCACAGTTAGCCAGCAATGGAGGGACCCAAGAGGAGCACACACAGAAGGAGCAGAACTTAGAAGCTTCTGTCTGCCCAGCTTGTCAGGAGGGCTTAGTCTTGGCCAAGCCAGGTTTAGCACAGAATGGAGTGACTGTGTTGGTGTGAAGCGAAGGAGGAAGATCCTGGGGTTAACCATTTTTGACAGAGTAATTGCCCAGGATGTCACTCTTGCTGCTTTTGTGAAGGTCAATGCATTGAATTTTCTGGGAGGGACGCCAACCAGCTGTCTCCCTTATTGTGGAGTCGGGCTTACTGTTGTGGCCCTAAGATTGTTCAGATCAACCACATGGTCATGGCCATCTAGGATGGTGTTGAAGGGGTAGATGATGGCTTGTCTTGCCTTTTCTCCTCTTTCCTCCCCTCTGGAGCTAGGAAATCCTAAAGCCCTGGGTAAGCTATTGGGAGCCAGCCAGGGCTTTATAAAGCCCCCAGGGAGCCAGCCTGAGGAATAGTAAGAGCAGCATGGTAAAGAGGGTGGGCTTTCATTTTCTCATCCTGGTCGATCTCCATGTTGTGGAATCCTCTAGATTGTGTTTGATGATTGCCTGGACATCTTGATGCTGGAGATAGGAAGCAGTAGCTGTGCTGAGCCAGGATTAAAGCAGTCCCTCAGCAGAGTTGGCCTGTTGTAGGGAATGAGGAGGACAATGCAACTCCCACTGTAGAATTCTAATGAGTTTCTGCAAAACCATCATTTTGTGTCCAAAGAGTGAACAGACCTTTTGTCTACTCTGGCCTATGGTGGTGAGTACACAGTGCAGTTGTGTGGGTAGGAGGAGCATCCTGGGTTTAGAGATGAAGACATGAGACCCAGGGGTCTGAGGGAGGCTTAGTTATGGGTGAGTGAATGGACCCTTCTCTTGGAAGACTGGAGAGAATGAGTTAAGGTGAGTTTGATAGGCAAAAGATGTGGGCTGTGGTCTGAGATCTCAGAATTTGCTCTCCCTGCCCCCTCCCAACATGCTACAGAAGGGAGGAAAGAGATGGGCAGGTGGGATATTAGAGGACTTAGAGAGTGGTTGCAGTGTGAAGTCATACTGGTAAGCTGGGATAGCACATCTGGACACAGTTTTGCTTAATTGATATGAGCAGCTCTCTTATAAAAAGGCACATGCTTTCCATTAACGTTATAGAAAAAGTCCCTAGAGACATGTAGTAAATTGCATCTCTGAACTTTTACAGACTCAGCATTTTGCTTGTAAGTAAGGTATATAGATTCCAGCAGGCCAGTGTTCCATTCCCTCTGATAATAAGCAGGAAAAAAATGGATAAATATGATTTAAAGGCATCAGAGTGCTACAGAAATGATGAAGACTAGAGAGATTGAAATTCCAGGGAGATAAAAGAGGACTACTCAAAGATGAAATTGGCAGCTCTCTTTCTTGAGAGCATTTGCCAGTTCTGGGTGTAGGCTAAAGATGGACTTGGCTCAGATAGAGAGATGCTGCTGGTGGAAAGAGAAATAGGCAAAGCATTTAGCAGTGATGTGCCTTTCAAATTCATGGCTGATTTTCACCACAAGATATTTGCTGAATTTCAAGTCTGTGCCAGAGTGCAAAGAGTTAGGCTGCACTTCCTGAGAGGCAGAGTAAAATTCTCAGATTGACTGTGTGAGTGGAGAGCAAAGTTCTACAAAGGAGCTGAAAAAAAAATAATAGAGACTTAAAAGGCCCAGAGAGAGTGGGGAATTGACTCTGGACATTTACATATCCATTCACCTGGGCACTTACTGATTCTAGGACCAGTGAGAGGCTTGGGCATCCGGTGTTGGTCCCTGCTGCTACTTGGTTTGCTGCAGGCAGAGAAACTTGCACAAATCTTGATGTTTACATGTAGCTTGAATGACAAAATGAGAGACTTGAGTGGCTCTAAACACGTGGCTGGGCCCCTTCAAGATTTGCTAAATTATGAAGATATGTGGATTTGAAGGCTACAGAACTAAGTCAAAAACTTCTTAAGGACAGTATTGAATCTCTAGCAGCCTTTCACGGCAGAGGAGATGAATATCTACCCAGTCGTCAGTTGAAATCACTTAAAGGCCTGCCCTAAACACAGAGGTGAACCAGAGGTAGACTGAGTTTTACCAGCACTGAACCTCAACCCTGAGAAGTAGGAGTATCCTATCTACCTACTTGTCTAGCAGAAAAAAGGGGAACATTTCCCTGGTAGAAGATAACAGCATGTGGAACCTTAACAATTCTTTCATACCCATTTTCCAACATACAGTAAAAAATTACTAGACATGGAAAAACATGAAACCATATATACTTAGGTCAAAATGAAACCCCAGATAATAGAAACAGGTTAAGATATAATCCAGATGTTAAAGAGTTTTCATCAAGGACTTTAAAATAACCGATTAGTATATTCAAGGAAAAGGAGAAGGAAAATGGATGAAATAGGTGATGGGAAGAAGACTAAGAATTAACTAAGTCTCCCCAGAGACTTAAAATTTATTCAAATGGATATTCTAGAACTAAAAAAAATTGCAATATTTGAAATTAAGAGGTCAGTGGGTAGATTTAACAGCACATTGGTTCAATATCAATAGCCAAGGATGGTGAGCTAGAAAGCAGATCAATAAAAAGTACCGAAATTGAAGCAGGGAAAACCAAGAAAGGAGGGAAAAATAATTGGTGAGTATAAAAAATGCTGGACACACTCAGCAGGTCAGACACATGTGTAACTGGAGTCCTAGAAGAGGCAGAGAGATAGTGGAGCAGAAGCAGTGTCTTGGAGGGAGAGTTAAGAAGGTGAGTGAACCTCCAAGCAGGATAGATGGATTCTGCTCTTGAAGTAAAGTAATACATACTTTCTACCCTTTTAGTCATTTTCTAGTTTTATCACATTGAACAAGTCACTTGACCTTGATGAGCCTCAGTTTACCCTTCTGTAAAAATAAGGTTTAGATAAAAGATTCTCTGAAAAGATTCCTTAGAAACAGTTACATTCTAAAGAAATACCAGAGTGTCACTGTCATAATTCCAGCTTGACTGACTCTGGGACAGCCTGGGGCAAACTTGAGAGCTGTGTCCCATACTCTCTTCAGTCTCTGTCTACTGCCATTCAAGGGGACTTGTAAGAGGTTGTGTGACTCACCTCAGGTCATAGGTCTGCAGTGAAGGCAGGCAGAAGAAAATGATTTAAACCCATCAAGTTTCTGGATGTGTCTAGGCATTGTTTTGTCCTTCCCAGATCCTAGAAGTTGGGAAATGACCAGGGTCAGTGTTCTGGAATCGTGAATCCATTCTGATCCACTCTCAGCCACATACCTTCCCTGGGTCTGCCTTGGTCCTTCCATGTCAGTCCTGCCTGGGGCTGAGTCAGAATTCCACCAGTTCCCAAGGTCTCAGGGCCATTCCCCTATACCAGCCCATGGTTTAGATCTGCATTTTTCCACAGCCCTCTCCTCTGCCCCATTTCTTGATTATGTCCAGTGATAGCAGGCAGGTCACTTTACTGTGTTTACTAGCTTTATATCTTTAGTTAAGCTGAAGGCCTGACATATAGTAAATGCTGAATAAGTGTTTATTGATTGAATGATTGCATGGTGTGCTGAATATCATCCCTTTACCCCTCTAGATCCATTCTCTACCCTTCTTCACTCTGTTCTGGTTCCTGAGAGGCTAACCTGCAGATGACATCAATGGGCTTCCAGGTCCTTTTACTTCTGGATGGGTTTGGCAAATAGCAAATGGAGGTCAGAGGGAGATAGGGGACGGTATTTGTTCCCCTGGCTCTTGTTCCTGTGCTGGCTGTGTCCCTCAACAGAAAGTCACCTCCCTTTTCAAGGCAGCCTGCTCCATATGATCCTCCCTTTTCAAGGTGTGTCTTCTTTCCATTCAGTCTTCCTTTTAGGTCAAGAGTAGTGAGAGCTAGCACCAGGGTCCTATTCCATCCTTTACAGTTTCTGCCTTGTTCACACCTATATAATTACTGTCCTTATAAATTAACTCTCCACAAATTATCCTAATTGGAGTGTACCTTTCCTTCCTGCTGGAAAGCAGCAGGCTCTAGTTGCTTATGGAGATTTAAAATGGTTGAACTGGACACTGGAGCTGCAGGTGATTAAAACAGGTATGTAGATCAGTTCTTCTAAGAATGTGTGCTATGGCTACCACTAAGGGTGCTCTGATGTGTGGCAATTTGGGGGCAATAAATAGCAGTTTTGGGTACTATTCTTGACTTACGAGAGGCATTCTCCCACTGATAACATGTAAGATCTTATTTTAGACTGCCTATTTAGTGTCTTAAATTGCCTCTTATCATTGTTGTGAATCTGACTCAACATGGGATGTGCCAGAAGAACGTAGGACCAAATATAAAAGGGCAAGAGAAGTACGCTGTAATTTTAAGACGTAACTGTGGTGTCCAATTCAGTGTTTACATTTCTCCTCTCGAATGTTTTCCTGCAGGTGATCATAAACAGCACAATCACGCCGAATATGACCTTCACCAAAACGTCACAGAAGTTTGGGCAGTGGGCAGACAGCAGAGCCAACACGGTGTTTGGTTTGGGGTTTTCTTCTGAGCAGCAGCTGACAAAGGTACATGGTCCTTTATACAGCATAATAAGCACCACCGCTCTCATTCAGAAATTGCCTACTGAGGAATGGAGTGGTGCTTTCGGTGAGCAAGAATCCTTTATGGTCTTGCACTTCACCCTTCTGGCATCATAGCACTGCCAATGCAGGTGCCCTTCCCCAAATACCAGGTTCCTTGAAAACAGGAAATCCATCTCTTAACAAGTGCCACTTCAGGGACTGAAGCAGTGAGTACAGTCCTTCCTTCCTCCAGTGTCTGCTTCTGCCTTTTGTGTCTGGCAGGGTTAGTGGGCTTGTCTGCCCAATTCTTGTCTACTAGATTTTCAGGATCCATGTGAGGAAAGAGTTGTCAGCAGGTCCTTACCCCTGGACTCCTGAGGAAGAGACTATGATCCTGCTCCCAGCAGCAGTGCATCTTGATGGAACAAACTTGTTACATCTTTTAAAGGATAGCACAGTTTGTCTTTGACATTCATTGCTGTCAGTGATTCTCTGTTTGGAGCCCTCAGAAAAGGGGAGTAAGATAATGCTTAGTAGGAGTTTCTAGCCTGGAGTCCCCACACCCCTTAAAATGCCATACAGTGCTGTGTATGTGTGTGGGAGGTGCTCCCCCCTCCAAAGAGAGGATTCATAGCTGATTCATTCTCCAAGGATCTAGACACACCTGAGAATGACTAGAAAGGTCTTGCAGAGCAGATCATAGCTGACTGCAGAATAGGGGTAGCTGAGGGAACAAACTGATGGTCTCTGAGCAGCCTTACTCAGCCATTTTAAGGGGGCTGAAAGCTGTTTTAGGAGAATAAATTTCCTTTTAGGATTGTAGAAGAGCCCTGTGTAAGTATTAAGAATGTTTGAGTTGAAAGTAATATTGACTAATTTATATGACATAGGAATTTATTAGAAGAATGTCAGAGTATCTCAAGGAATCCAAGGGAAAGTTGAAAAGCTAGGCCAGCTAGAATTAGGCTGGTTTCCAGAAGCATGGCTGAAGAAGTTTTTTTCATCTAGACTGTTGCCATTAACATCTGGCTGACTATCTGGGCAGGTATTTATTGGGCTCCTGCTCTGCTGACACTGTGCTAGGCACTGAGGGTGCAGAGACATTTTAGGAGGAGCTCCATAAAATTCCAGATTCTTGGGGAATTGCATACTACAACCTCAGCTATTTGAGTTCCTGTGTGTACCATGTTGTGAGATGGAAAAGAGGAGCAAGAGCCCTGAGGGCAGAGAGAATTTATGTAAAGTGGAAGCAAGTGTGATTGATGGTGACTGGCAGGGTGAGCAGCCAGAGCCTCTGTCTGGGTTTTGCATGGTTTTCCCTTCAGTAGAGGTGCCCAGTGGGGAAGGGAATGGTGGGAGCACCCCACTCCCCAGGGCTCTCCCAGCTCCCTCATAGCCAGAGGAAGGGGTTTGGGAACCTCAGACTGCTGGGGAGGTTCCTGGGTCCTGACTGGGCTCATCTTCACACAGGCTCCTGATCTTGTCCAGGACCAGGGGTTCCTTCCTGAAGCTCGGGATGGTTTGAGAGAATCAGTGATAGCTTTCCTGGAATAATTTCTTTAGTATTCAGAGGAGTTGAAGTAGCTAGAAGGATAAAGGGAGAAAGTTTCTATGAAAAGAATCAAAAGCAAAACTCCAGACAAAAACCTAGAACAAGTTGTTGAAGTTCAATTCTTTGTGCCTCAGAGAGCTGAAGAGACCTTGAGCTGTGCCTGCCTCCAAGGGCGGCCACTTCTAAATTTTCTCAGACAGAAGAAAATGTCCTATCATTAAGGAGGAGTATCCTGTCTTCCTGAGTCATTCAGTCTCTGGCAGCACTAGAGTCTCTGCTCTTTGACTGTGACCTGTCATTATTATAAAGACTTCTCAAATAAACTCTTGGATGAATGTTTCCTTTGTCCAAAATATTTCAAATCAACTTTCCCCATTCTCTTTGAAGGGAGCCATTAACCACACACTGATAAATTATCATGAATTGAAGCCGGCAGTCTTGACAAGTAGCAATTAGCTACACTGAAGGAACTTGGGCCTAAAGGGTTCCCAAGGCGTGTGCTGAGGGACATCTGTGGCTGAGTATTCCTGACTTCCCAGAGCTACCACCCACAGACCCTAGGGGAATTGGTGATCAAACACTCCAGGCTAGAGAAAGGAACCAGCGTGTGCATTTTCATTTATGCCTACTTCTCTCTCTGACCTCCAAAATGAAAATAGATACCTTTGTCTTAACAGCTGTCATTATAAGGACCACTTCACAGCCACAGTCCAGAAAATATTTCAGGGAAACTTTCTACTCTTGAGACAGCCTTTACAAAAATAATAGATGCTGTTTGTTCCCAGAAATAAACTGGGACTCCTCTGTCCACCCACTGGAAAGACACAATACCTCAGCCCACTAAAGAACATTGAAAAGGAGCTTGCATGTTCAGATAAAAGGAAGAGCTTATGAAAAAAAGACAAAAGGAGAGAGAGAACCAAATATAAGAATGAACCAGTTATTGAAGTTTAGATTCTTTCTGGCATCTGACCTCAAGTTGTCACTGTTCTAAGTTTGGCTTTATCTCATTCATAGAAGGAAACACATTCTTCCATTAAGGAGAGCAGTCCAAGGATGAAGTCATGAGTGCTGCATGGCTTGATTTTTTTGGGGGGGGGGTGGTGCTGGGGATCGAACCCAGGGCTTCGTGCATGTGAGGCAAGAACTCTACCAACTGAGTACTCCCCAACCCAATGAGTGCTTCATGGTTGATCCATCTCAACCCTAATACACATGTGACATTTGCTTTCAACAAATTTCAGTAATTTTATCCATTATTCAAAAATGTCCCCTCTCTTTACTTCCTTAACTCAGTGTAGTTGTAAGAACATTATCCAGTCTCCTTTTTGTCACCTGATTTAGGGTGAATTTTTTGGGGGGAGGGGGTACCAGGGATTTAATCCAGGACGACTTTACCACTGAGCCACATCCCCACACCTTTTTATTTTTTATTTTTGAGACCAAGTCTCACTAAATTGCTTAGGGCCTTACTAAATTGCTGAGGCTTTCCTTGAACTTGGGATCCTCCTGCCTCAGCCTCCCAAGTTGCTGGGATTATAGAAGTGCACAATGATGCCCCACAAAGGTAACTTTTTAAAAATGTGGGATATTAATCATTCTTTTGATATGTTTCAGATAGAATGCTTTTGACTACAAGTAACAGAAAGCAAATTGTAGTGCTTAAATAAAGAGGGTATTCTTCTCATGCAAAAGAGAAGTCCTGAGATAGGTAGTTGCTGACATGACTTCATAGTGTTAGATCTGAGAGTTCTGCATCATATTTTTGTATGTTTGTTCTTCTATTGACCTTTCCTTCTTGGTGATAAGATGGCTACTTAAGCTCTGTACATAACATCTGCTCTCACAGCAAGATTGGGAGAAAGCAGAACCACAATACTTCCCTTGAAAACTTCATGGCTGACTTCTTAGATTCCATTGTCAGCCCTGGATCCCTAACCCCTTCTCCCTCAAATAATAAATACAAGGAAGTAGGTTGCTATGATCATTCTCCAGCACCTATGAAATTTTTACTCCAGACAAATTTGAGATTCTGTTAAGCTAAGAAAAACGAAAAAAAAAAAAAGATTATGAATAGCAAATGTATTGTCTGCCATAGGTCTTCAGTGGCCAAGACTAAGAAAAACCATAGACAAAATCGAGCACTATTAGTCTGTCATTTTCCATGATAATGGTGGTGATTATTTTGATCATCTTCTATCTGTGATGAATGAGATAAAGCCAAACTTAGAACTGTAATGTTCTTACAACTACAATTTAAAATTATTACCACAACTTTAAAAACTATATAAAATGATCTTAATAATAAAGACATGAGAATTTGGCAATGTATTTCAGAAACCTTTCTGGTTTGACTTGCCATTGACTTATGGGTTTCATTTACAGGAATGCTTTTGAAAGAAATAATGGCAATGGAGTACAAAGATTTAGCTACAAGGATTTTCCTTGCATCATCATTTTGAAGAACAACCAAAGAAAGGAAAAAAGGGGAGAAAGAATCTAAATAACCAGCAGTAGGAAATTAGTTAAATAACCCGTGCATCCCTCAGCATAATATTGTGCAGCAATTAAGATAATATGGTAGAGGGGCTGGGGATGTGGCTCAAGCGGTAGCGCGCTGGCCTGGCATGCGTGCGGCCTGGGTTCTATCCTCAGCACCATATACAAACAAAGATGTTGTGTCTGCCAATAACTAAAAAATAAATATTAAAAAATTCTCTCTCTCTCAAAAAAAAGAGTGGAAATGCACATCATTTAAAAAAAAAAGATAATGTGGTAGAAAATCATAATTGCATGGAAGTATTACTGTCATATTGTTAATTTCAGAAGAGGCTATAAAATGAGATGTACAACATCATTTCAGTTTTTAAAAGAAATATTTGTATGTATGTGATGGATGCATATATACATATAGAAAATATCAGAAGTTTGTATGGTTAGTGCTTATTTCCAGGTGATAGGACGATAGTTTTTAAAAATATTTAATTCTAAATATACTTTCCAAATTTTCAAGCATATATGCTTTTATTCAATAATGGGAAAATATTAGAAAACTGTAGACTTCATGAAAATTTTTCACCAAAGGATAATCATTTGGCACCTCTCTTAAGTGGTAAAGTCTCTGAAGGGGACTATTCTTCCATCAACACCCAGAGCTCTCTGGATTGCTTCCAATTTTTCATTATTGTAGGCAAAGCTAGAATTATGATCATTGTGTTGAAGGCTTCCCCTCCCCCCCCCCCATTTTCTCAAGTATTTTTGCAGAATAGTTTCCCAGAAGCTTTATCACTGAGTCAGTAGGTATGAACTTTTTTTTCCACTCATGATACATATTTTCAAATTGCTTCTCAATGGGGCTGTACCAAAACACAATGCTACCAGAAAGATCTTGCCAGCACTGAGGTTGATAATTATATTTAGTGTTTGCTCATTTAGCAGGCAAAGAATTGTTCCTTATTATTTTGATTTGCATTTCCAGCAAGGCTGAACAGTCTTCTCTCTATGTTGTTTAGTTATTCTACTTTTTGTTCATGAATTTTGCCATTTATCTATCGGAATTTTCATATTTTCCTTTTCATCTTGTACAAATTCTTTCTGCACTAAAAATAATAACCCTTTTTTCTGTTGTCCTAGCTTAGCTATAGACCATTTCCCCGACTGCTGTTTTCCTTCTTCTTTGGTTTTTTTCCCTTTTATGTTTAAATTGTTATACAGTCAAGCCTGTCACTTTTGTGATTTTCTTTGATTTCTTCCAAGTTTGGAAAATTACCTTCCCACCCTTCAAGTAGAAGTTCAATAAGCATTCAATGTTGTTTGTATCTAGATTTTTTAGTGTTTAACTTTTTTTTCACACTTACCCATTATAACTGATTAGTGATTTAACATGCTGCTGGTTTGTGGTAAGGATTTAAATTCTTTGCCCTACAGTTTTCTAAAGTTATCTTAATTATAATTATAATTATCTTAATTATAATTAATTATCATTATTAATTATAATTGGGATGCACAGACCTGAACCCAGGGCTCATTCATTCACTGAGCAATCTCATTTGTGCCTGCTTTCTGCCAGGTGTGGAGGAGGGTGCAAAAATGAAGAGGTAGGGACTCCGCCATCATGGAGTGCATGACATGAAGTTTTTCCTGAAGGAAGTTCCTTCCTGAAGAGGAAGGAGGCTTTGTCCATCCCTGCTGAGCTTTACATGTTTCAAGCAAATGATAATGTGATTTTCCTCTGACAGCTTTGGAAAGGTTAAATATGAAGCCCCATGGCTGTGGCTTTATTAACGGGGCCTGCAGCAGCAACTCTGGGCCAAAACCAAAAGGCTGACCTTTTCTGCTTAGACCAGGGTGCTGAGTTCACCAGCATCTGTTATCTGTCAAGATCTCCTTGAAGCATACTACTGTTGTGGGCATTGTGAAGATACTCAGAGGACAGCCTATGCTCACAAATAGATGAGTCCTAAGCAAGACCCTCAGAATTGTCTTTAGCCTTACAACCTGCAACTTTCTGTTTCTCTTAGGAACTACATTTAGTTCTCCTTGCTTTGTAATATCAGGATTATCTATTAGAAACTGTTCTCTGTTCAAACATCACATTTGCTAATGAAAATCAGTCACCTTGTCAGTGATTGTGAGCCAGTGATTACTTTGATAGCTCTAGGATTTTAAGATTTTTTTTATATGGAAATGTTAAAACATTTTAAAAAGTAGAGAGCACAGATTAATGAACACTACACATATCACCTAGATTTAACACTTATTAGCATCTTGCCACATTTCCTTATCTCTTTTATTAGTGTACTTTATTTTTTTATTTATTGGTTCTTTTTAGTTCTACATGACAGTAAAATCCATTTTGACATAATTATAAAAGCATGGAATATATCTTGTTAATTCAATCCCCAGTCCGTCTCCTTCCCCTCCCTCACCGACCTCCCTTCCTTCTTCTCTATTGATCTTTCTGCCATTTACCGGTAGTTATTTTATTTTAATTAATTTCTTGTTGATGTACACATGATGAGATTCACTGTGGTATATTCACATATGTATATAGGAAAGTTATTAGTGTACTTTAAACAAATTACATGATGATTAAGGTTATAATCATAGGCTGTATTTGACTGTTTTGTGTCTTTTTCTAAAAAATCTAAGAATAGTTTCCCCAAGGTTTTGGGCATTTTTCTTTTCTGTGGCATTAACTTCTGAGAGTTCTTGGATCTTTTCAATAGGGTTCATTAAGTTTGTCATGGATCCCATCTGTAATGTAGTTATGTTTCTCTTGATGCTTTTGTATTAGTTACTATAAACCTACGGGCTTTGTTTGTTTGTTTGTTTATCATCATCAAACTAGCTTCAGTAGCTTTGAAACTGGTTCAGATCTGACGTGGGCCAATAGTATTTACTAGAAAAATTTCTTATATTCATATATTTTAAACCTCAAATAAAATTATCTTGAGTTTATATAGAATTTATTGGCTTAAAAAGGATACAGAATAATAAAAATGGGTTTTGAATAACAGCCAAGAATAACATTAATAAAAACCTTAATAACTATTTTTGGTATTCAGTTTGCAGATAAGTTCCAGGAGGTAAAAGAAGCTGCCAAATTAGCCAAAGACAAATCCCAGGAGAAAATCGAGACTTCGAGTAATCATTCCCAAGTAAGTCATTTATCCATGAAACAAATCTGAATGTGATTGGTGATCAAGATTCCTCGTTCCTTGGTGCTCTTGGCAAGAAATGAATTTTAGCAGCAGGGTTTTGAAGGCTGTTCACAATAAGGGGTATGTGACATGTTTTTATGAGACTTAAATTTCAACCATAATACTATAGTTTTGACAGAAAATGGTTGATGAGATTGGAATTAACGCATGTCCCTAGACCTTGAGAAACAGGTGGTGGTCATTCTGTGTTTAAATGTTGGCAGCAAAGCAGCATGTTTTCTTGCTGTGTTGGGAGGTGAGGTCTGTATATAGGATTCTCATTGGTGGATGCAGGCACCTAGTACCCATCAGAGAGAAAACTTGATACCAGAGAGCCCTCTGTCTTAGTCCTGTAGATAGGAGTCAGGTAGGAGATGGTATTCCCACAGCTCTGTCTTAGCCAGAGAAGAACTGGCTTTTTCAGGAATTGAGGGTGTCTGTCTGCTATAAAGTATGATGAGTGGCTAAGGATCTACTTTAACCTAAAGTAAAAATACCAGCATTGCTGGTGTCTACACTGATACATGTGGTGGTGATGGAAGGCTTGACAGAGAGATTTCAGGATCAAGGGGTTGGAGTCAGGAATCAGCATGCTGTATTAGCAGCAGTCAGGAGTCTGCCTAGCTGGGCTGAGGTGTGCTGTAGGATGTGTGGGGACGTTCTTGGAGATACTGTGAAAAGACCCAGACTTCTTCATTAGTGGGTAGTTTATTATTTTTTAGCTCCTTGTTTATTACTGGGTAGTTGGTGGACATTGGAGGTTCTATGACTGTTGATCTGGAATTGACCTGAGGGTTGTGTGCAGGTGGAAAGGCAGTTGGGAGTGGCTCAGGGCAGAAAGATTTTTGAGGAAGCTATAGAGGGGAAGGTGGCTGGACCCTGGTAGCCTCTGGCAAATGACGAAGAAATGGATGTCAGGGACAGCTCCCAGGAAGAGAGCCAAGAGACCCATGCATGTGAAGTGGTCATGCTCAACACTGCAGACTTTACCATCAGTCTCACAGAAGCAATAGCTGAAGCCTGGGTGCACCAGGAAGCAGGGAGGAGAGGAGTGCAAAAGCCCAGCCCTGGAAAGTGAGCCCAGTTACAGAAAAAGAGCCAGTGAAAAGGCAAGGGAGGAAGGAACTCTAGCATCATGGAACCTAAGGCAGTGCTTTCACAGCATTCAGAGCTAACAGAGGAGGGGAGAGGAGGCTGAGAGGGACCCTGGTCTTGTCAGGAGACTTGGTGACTTGGAGTGTTTCACGGATAGGACCTAGTTCTGTCTGGAGTTACATTCCCAACACCTTGTCCAGGGCTCACCATATTAAAGATGCCCCATATGGATTTATGGAAATGAAGTGTATTAGGCTTCAGATAGATGGGAACTTTCTAAATAATCTATAATCTCTATGCTGTTTATTTAGTATTAACACTGTTAATTTAGTTTTATTAATTATTAAGTAATCTCTGAGGATCTATAAAATTGTGTGTAAATTTTATAGAAATTGTCCATGGTATAGAGATTCTAATAAAATGTCTTTTTTCTGAATACAGACTTTATAGTGATATCTTTAAACTTAAAATCTGAATTTCTCTATATGTCTTTGTTTTAAAATTTGTCCCCCCAAAAGTATTTTAAAAGTTGGAAAAACCAAGTATACCCAATGTTTGTCTATATACACACACACACACACACACACACACACAACACATACATTAATTATATTGGAATGAAATTTTGTCTCTAAGATTTGGTTTTTATTTATTGTTCCTGATATTTCCCCAGAAATCGAGATCATTGTGCATTTTTCTTATTTTTATTCAAAATCAGTTACTTGTTTTCCTGAATCTCTTTGACCAAGATTTCCAAGTAGTTGAAGATTTAAACGACCTAATTTCAAAAACACTAAAAATGAGTTTTGTGACTATAAAAATGATACATATGTATTGTAGAATTAAAACATATACTACAAAAAAAGGAATAAAAATCATCTGCTTTCTTACCACTTAAAGATGCCTTTTTGTAGTATGTTGGTTTGTATCTTTTTTTTAAATATAGCTTTTGAGTAAATTTTTCTATTACGCTTTATAACCTTTATTTATTTTTTTTTTTTTTTTGAGAGAGAGAGAGAATTTTTTAATGTTTATTTAGTTTTCGGCGGACACAACATCTTTGTTTGTATGTGGTGCTGAGGATCGAACCCGGGCCACACGCACGCCAGGCGAGCGCGCTACCGCTTGAGCCACATCCCCAGCCCACGCTTTATAACCTTTATTAAATTTTTTTTATGTCATAATAATTTCTTTGTATTTTCAAGTATTCCCTTTCAAATCTGTTTGTCAGGATTTGTACCATTAGCCTCTTGTGATTTGGGACATCCATGTTGTTTCTCATTTTTCATTATTATAAATAATACTATGATGAGTGTTCTTGCCTCATCTTTGTGCATTTGACAGTTTCTGCAGAATAAATCCTTGAGATGGAGCATGAGTTGAGGTCCTAGGCATTCTTAAAGCTTTTGATGCACACAGTTACACTTGGCCTTCAAAAGTGTGCAGTTCTAGCTCCTACTTCCCCCAAATGAGGCTTTTTCTTCTCATATCCTTGCCAAGAAAGCTTTGTTGATTTGATTTTAAAAAATGTACTTCATTGCCTTTTTCTTCTCTTGTATTTCTTTTCTACTGACATTAGATATTGTTTATGTTTATTAAATGTATACATTTCTTCTTTTGTAAATATCAATAGTCTTTTTCCTTCTTAAAATAAATTGAGGAGACATTTCTCTTATATTGTATTGATTCCTAAGGGGTTTACATATTTTTTTAACATGGAAACTTTTCACATGTAGAAATCTAGGCAGAATTATATAATGAACCTCCACATACATGTAGGTCAGCTTTAATGATTGGTAATCTGTGACCGATATTTTTATCTATGCCCCACACTTTACCCCGACCCCGATATTTTAAAGCAAATCCCTGATATTTCATCTATAAATATTTCAGTATGTAGCTCTAAAAGATGAGAACTCTTTTTTAATATAGAAAAGATATTAACATTTTGTTTTTAATATCTGCTGCAAATATTTCCCCTGGCTTTTCTTTGCATTTTAATTTTGTTTATGACATTTTTTTTGTAATGCAGAAATTTAGTTAAGTGTATACATCATTTCCTACATGGTTCCTTCCTTTGCCTTTATGCTTATTTAAGGCCAAATAAGATTTTTCTAAGATCTTATCCAAGACCAGATAGATTTCACCTCCTTGTGGTTTGACTTATCACAGAAAACACTTCGGGATATTCATAACAATGCTAAGTAGTAATAGAGAAGCAGACATCCATATCTTGTTCCTGTTTTCTTGATGAGTATGTTGATCTAACTCTCCATATCCCCAGGATTTTTAAACTGTCTCAACTCATAATACTTTTTCTCTATCTTCATTAACTATTTCTTATTCTTTGGTGTTTGGAATAATTCCTTCTCCTTTTTTTTTTTAAAGAGAGAGAGAAATTTTCTAATTTTTTTTAGTTTTGGATGGACACAACATCTTTATTTTATTTTTATGTGGTGCTGAGGATTGAACCCAGCGCCCTGCTCATGCCAGGCAAGCACACTACCGCTTGAGCCACATCCCCAGCCCCCCTTTTCCCCTTTTAACCTGTAACTTCCATCAGTGGTATTTAAGAAAACCAGATACTCAAGGTTGGTAGATTTTTCTGAAAAGTTTGAATAAAAAGTCTCTGAGCAATGGCCCAGGTGTTCTCTTTTCAATAAAGTACATGGACTTTATAAATGCCATCTGGGTTTTCCAAGGCCTTTTCCTGCCATTATTGACACTCTTTGTTAGCTTGTTTACTTCTTTGTCTTCAGTACTTTCTGGTTAGATGAGTTGGTTTGTCCACAGTCACAACACACAGTTTCTCATTATGACTGATTTGCTGGCAGTGTGAGGATGAGCAATAACGTGTGAAGATAATTCACTTTGGCCAGGAATCTGGGTGTGAAACCCCATCTTCTACTCAGGCATCCAGCGTCAATGGAACGGATGATGAAAAGGCTTCTCATGTGGGTCCAGCTGACACACACCTCAAGTCTGAGAACGACAAACTGAAGATCGCTTTGACACAGAGGTAAGGCTTGTTTAGAATTCACATCCGAGCTGGGCACAGGCCTGTAAACCAGCAACTTGGGAGTCTGAGGTAGGAGGATTTCAAGTTGGAGACCAGTCTCTGTAACTTAGTAAGACCCTTTATCAAAATTAAAAGTAAGAAAACAGGACCAGGACTGCAGCTCAATGGTAGAGGGTCCTTGGGTTCAACAATCCCTAGTAGTGGCAGAGATGGGGTGGGGGTCAAGATCCTGTTTTCTTCACGTTCAGAACTTCTGGGAAGCTTATTAGGCTGAGCAGGATTTCAGGAAATTGAGAGAGATGACCGGCTGTCCTGCTTTGAGCATCCATCTCATCTCCCTGGCAAAGGGAGACTAGTTGGCTTCATGGCCCTTCTCTATCTGCCAACCCATCAGCATCAGTTTGTGTGTGTGTGTGTGTGTGTGTGTATTGACAAAGTGTGTATGGTGATGTAATTGAGTGTGTATGAGGTATATGATAGGGTAAGTGTGTGAGTACATGTGTGAGAAGGGATGTGTGTGTCAGTGTGAATGTATAGTGTGTGAGAGAGTATGTGGTACAGCTTCGAAATTGTACTTTTTTTTTAGAAGATAGATTTATGATAAAATTGAGTCTTGACCAAGAAAAGCATATAAAAACCTAAGAAACTGTGATAAATAATATGAAATCACACACAAGTCAGTAACTTTTTTGTTTAAAAAACCCATCACATTGGTCATATATTTGAAGAAGGTATTTGCTTTACAATATGAACTGGAACCACAAAATACATAAGAATAAATTTGGAAAGAAATGTTCAAGATCATGTAAAGCAAACTTTAAAATGATTTTGAGGATAAAAATTAATCATTTAACAGATAGATAAATTCTTCAAGGTTTTTATTTTGTTTTGTTGTTTTGTTTGAAGTGCTGGGGATTAAACCCAGGGCTCTGCAAGTGGTAGGCAAGTGTTCAGACCACTGAGCCACGCTCCCAGTCCTGAGATAGATTTTTTAAAAAATGTTTTTAAATGTGTGTCTTTTATTTTTAGTTGGGACATAATTATACATATTTGTGAAGTTTAGTGTGACATTTAATACATATATATTATATGTAATGATCAGATCAGAATAGGTGGCATATCCATCACTTTATATTCAAACATATTATATTGGGCCAGATATGGTAGTGCACACCTGTAATCCCAGAAACTTGGGAGTCTGAGGCAGGAGGATCATGCCAGCCTCAGCAACTTAGCAAGACTTTGTCTCAAAATAATAAAAAGAGCTGGGGATGTGGCTCAGTGGTTAAGCACCCTGGGTTCAATCCTGGTACCCACCCCCAAGGAATATATTTTTTAAAATTATATTAATATAATTATATAAACTTATTTTATATACATATAATTATATTTTAATATAAATATATTTTTTAATTGGGAAATGGTAAGAAGACTTGATATTTTCTAAGGTATCAGTTTTCCTTTAGTAGATCTATACATGTAAATTGATCCCTATACTGATATAAAGGTTTCTTAAATTTTTGATGACATGAGTGGTAGTTGCTTTCCTGTGTCTTCAGGGCTGGCCTGTGAGTGCCTTCAGAATCATCCTGCTCACCTGGCCGGGGGCTTCGGCCAACTTCCCTCAGACGTGGAAGAGAAACTATCTTCCTCAGCCCATTTAAGCTGTGTCATATTGAGAGCCATCTGGCAAAATTCTTCCATTGTACAGATGAGGAAACTGAGCCAGTGATTCCCTATGCAAGGTCACATGTCTAAAAGTAAACCTTTCCATCACCTCATACTGCCTGCCCTTCAAAGCTGCAGTTGCAATCTCCTCAGGGATATCCCACAGTCACCAGTCACATTCTATAGCTAGAGTCACTAAAGGGTTGGCACCCATCTCCCCACCTCAAGTGAACTGTCTGGTGCTTGGAGCTTAATTCCTGTGATCTGACCTAGGAATTCCAAAAAACATGTGAGACTCTTAGATCCCACCACCTGCCTTTAGATTTTGGGTCTTTGTCAGGTACTTCAAAGAACAAAACTGTGACCAGTGTCTTTTCTTACTCGTCAGGTGATTGTGAGGACTATTTTTGACTGTTTAAGTCACAGTGAACTGCCTGGATGAAAGTGTTTCACCCCTAAAAATAAATGTTTTCAAATCCTGGTTTAATAAATGGTGTGAAGCCATTTCCCTAAATCAGCTTAAATTCTCAGTCATCAATTCCAAAATTCATCAGATTTTGGAACATTTTACTATTTTTTCAGTCTGTGGTATTTCAAACTGTGAATATGTATTTTCTAATCACATTCCTAAGTTCTTGAGGCTGTGGGCTGAAAGATAATGCAAATTATTCAGTCACAGTTGCATTTACTTAAAATTTTTGTTTTAAAGTCTTCAGAAAGAACTCTCTTCAGCCAGGGAGAAACCTGATGGGCTTGTCATGTGCAGCTCTGCCCCATCACCTCAGGTCACATTCAGTGCCACAGATATGGGAGCTCCAAGGCACAGAAATTAAAGGAAAGTCGAAAGGGAGAAGTTAGTGAGAGGAACCTGATTCAAATTTGTTTTAAACTTCTTCCTCACTATGCACATAAAACCAAAGGTAAAACAGAAAGCCTTTGTGATGAGGGTAGGGGTTTCATACCTGAGGTGATGCCCCCTGAGGTGATGGCCAGCCAAGGCTCCCTCACATACACTGAGGTTAGGAATACAGTTTTGCTTACAGGGGCCTGATTCCCCATTTGTTTCCTTTGTCCTCAAGCCCTTGATTCACAAATCTGGCTTCCTTTAAGGGCTCGGAGGAGGCACAGGTTAAAATGAGGCCACTTTCACCCAGGCTCTTTCTGTGTTTGTGTTTGTGTGACATCCTTGGACTCTGGAGAGGTTCATGGCTTTCACGATATTCTCAAAGGGTCCCATGGCCTGCCTCAGCAATTTAGAACCTCTCAGAGTGTGCAGTAGGAGGTTAGCCAGGAAGGAGGGGGAGGTGGGTATTTATCATGCTCAGCAGTCTTTCTTTTTAGAAGTCCATTCTTCTTTCTTTAAGAAGTCCATTCTCTTCTAAGGCAATTCTTTAAGAAATTAGCCTGGCAAGGTGACATGTTCACACTAGAAAGTGGTGCCATTGACCCTCTTGGCAGTTGGTAGGTGCAGCCAGACCCAACCCAGCTCACTAGTGGGTGAAGGAGTGGGCTCCCCTCAGGGTGGGCTAAGTGGCAGAGTCCCCATTCCCCAGGTGAAAGGAGGTGCACTGTGATGGCTGGCATCCCCCTGCCCGCATCTCCACCACCACCTATTTCCTGCCCCACAGTGCTGCCAATGTGAAGAAATGGGAGATCGAGCTGCAGACCCTGCGGGAAAGCAATGCTCGGCTGACCACAGCACTGCAGGAGTCAGCAGCCAGCGTGGAACAGTGGAAGAAGCAGTTCTCCATCTGCCGAGATGAGAACGATAGGCTCCGCAACAAGGTGGGCTCCTGGAACAGCAGCCAGCAGGAGGGAGGGCCCGCTGGCTGGGGTGGGCAGCAGGAGGCAGGGGCCACTGTGGTCCTTTCTCCTCTCCTCCCTTCTCCTCCCAGGGGCAGGAGAAAAACCTGCTGCCTGATGCCATTGAACATTCTCCATCCCACTGCTTTTCTTAGTAGAAATTTAGGCCATGTAAACTACATTTACCAAACCAAGTTTTATAATTCCTGTCATTAAGGAGAAGATAAACAAACTGGCAATTGCAGCTTTGTCCTACGCCAAGAGCTCCCTCTGATATGATTTTTGGGCTGGCTGATTGTCACAGTGGTCTTTCCTTAGCACTTCTGTGACTAAGTGATCTTCAGTGGAGGAAAGGAAGTCAGAGGATAAGTGAAAAATAGGCCCAGAACATCCTGAGGATCATTGCTCAGTTTCCATTCAAATCATTATTTCTAAAAATGTAAACCTAGGAGGGAGAAAAGGAATATACTGCTTAAAACATGTAAGGTGGTTGCTGACCACTGCCAGATGCTCTCTATTTTCTAACTTCAATGTCCTGCAATTAGATTTTTTCCAGACTCACCTATAAACTTCCCTATAATTAATCACTCTCTTTGTGGTATTGCTGAGTTGGTAAAGTGGGTTTGAGGTGACTCCCCAGACTTTCCTGTTCAGGTCTTAAGGTTTCTGTGCTGACCACATTATGATGGTGAGACCATTACCCACCCCTCTAAACCCCACCCCCGTCATGAAGTTTGGAGCTTTGGAGCATGAGCTTTGGAGGCTCCAGGTTTCAGGAGACATGTCACATTTAGATTGGTGTCCACTGTCCCTTGAGCCATTTCTATGACCTGAATGGAGCCGCTATAGACCAGCCCATTGTTTCACTCTTTTCCTTTGGTGCTGATGGCACATAAAGCTGCCTCGTGTCATTTTTTATCTCAGAACTGAAAGTGCTGACAGTCGGTTATCCCAGGCCAGCTGCTGACTTTGCATGTTTCTGAACAAAGCTGCCTGGCAGACCTGCCTGCCGGAGTTGCCCTTTCATTTTTTCAAGCAAAGAGTGAATTTGAATTCCTTGCTTTGATTGGAGTATGAAAACCAAAGACAGTGTGGAGGAGTGGAGGAAGAGCATCATTCTCAGAGGAGTGTGGACTTCCCTAGGTGGGACACATTGGGACCTTGATTTCTAGGCTGGAGGGGGAAGTTGGTAGGATTTCCAGCCACAGTTCAGAGGTTCCGACTCTGAGGGGTGATGCAGGCCACCTTCCAAGAATGTCCTCATGGCAACCGCCCCAATGCCCTTCATATAAAGACCACTGCTGTCTGTGTGTACACTGAGCTGCTTTTGGGTGGTCTCCAAGAAATACTCAGCATCAAACAGTAATATCAGGGTGTCAGGCCTGCATGAGTAACCTTTTTGAGGAGTTAGGCCTTGAAGTAAGGAACGAATGCAGTCCTAGAACTTGCCATTCAGTCTCAAGGAAGAGGCCCACTGGCCAGGCCCCTTCTGCATTCATACACGAAGGAAGGTCATCTTGATATATACTGTTTAAAATGTCATCACATCCCATTTGGTGGCCACTGTTCTACAGAGTTGTTAGAGTCTCTACTCTGCTGGCTTAAATCCTTGAGATGAAATAGAATAATTCAGGACATGATTCAAATGATGTAAAAATCATTCTGGGGAGAAGCAGATCAATTTGGAACATCTTGCCTGTGATAGACCCTTAAAACAAACCTAAACTTACTCCCATGTGACCAAGATAGAAAAACAGAAGTCCAGAGCATTCTGCAGTCAGGTTTCATTACTTATTAGCCCTGCAAGTATTAAGTGAGGCATCCCTTACAAGCAGGGGTAGCAGCTCCATGGGGAGCCGCTTGGAGCGTGTTCATAACCACAAAGAAAAAATATTTTAAGTGGGTTAGTTTATGGTTTATTTTAAAAGAAAGTATAAAAATAGCTGGGCATTATGGTGCATACCTATAATCCCAGCTACTCAGGAGGGAAGAGGACCATAAGTTCAAGATCAGCCTTAGTAATTTAGAGAGACCCTGTCCCAAATTTTTAAAAAGGAATAGGGATGTGGCTCAGTGGAGAGCACCTCTGGGTTCAATCCTCAATACAAGAAAGAAAGCATAAAAATAGCTTTGGCAGTCTCTTATTTAATGACTAAACTAGCATTTAATGTGTTTGTTGAAGATTGACGAGTTAGAAGAACAGTGCAGTGAGATAAACAGGGAGAAGGAGAAGAATACTCAGCTGAAGAGAAGAATTGAGGAGCTGGAGTCAGAACTCCGAGAAAAGGAGACGGTGAGTAGTGGATACTCTCTAAACATGGTCCTTGGCATTCTCTGGGCCTTGTGGAGTGACCTCTGTGATCTCAACCCAAGGACATAGCAGGTGGCTTGGGGCAAGTGACTAACCCTGGCAGCTTTCTGAACACCAGGACAGAGAGCCAGGAGTCACACCTAGGTACAGATACTCCAGAGCAGAGAACAGCCTCATCATTACCCTCTGCAGCCTCCTCATGTAAGAGTGACCTGAACATTTCTCAGAACACTTGGGCACTTCTATAGATCAAAAGTTGCCATCAAAAGTTGTTCTGCATGTAGTCATTTACATTCTGGGAGGCAAAACAGTTAAGTACACACACATTTAAGACCATGGGCAAGTTACCAAGCCTCTTTGGGTCTCAGTTTCACCATGTACAAAACAGTAAAACATAACAGTACAAAACATAAAAATACGTGCCTTTTTATGATGGTATTATGGACTTCATATAATCATGCAGAAACACACTTGGCCCTTTGAATCACCTGATAGTTAAGAATAGCATCATCACCACTATTGCTTATACAGACAGGATGGGCTGCAACAGTATCTATTAGTAAATGCACAGGTTGGTTATTTTCAAGTATACATTTATTTGATTGCTTTCATGTTCTTTTTTGAATTCCTGTATCCTCAAGGAGTTGAAGGATCTCCGAAAACAAAGTGAAATCATACCTCAGCTCATGTCAGAGTGTGAATACGTCTCTGAGAAGTTAGAGGTAAGAGAGGGGCATACCTGTCCTGGCTAGATGAGAAGGCAATTGTCATGTTGCTGGTGTGTCTACTCCCTCTAGCTGTCACTTCTAGGATGATAAAGAGGAGTGAGTTTCTATTTGTAAAAAGCTGGTGTAATCACATGCCCCCTGGCCTTAAAAGCAGACTCAATAGCATTGGTCTTGTGGTTTTTTCGCTTATACAGAGGCATTCTATGTATAACCACAGCATAGGTGGCTAGTTATCTCCCAAAGAAGTTCCTACAAAGCCACAGAGAGAATAAAGAGAGGGACAGAAGGGTGGCCTGAGAGTATAGAGTCAGGGTGCAAGTCCACATCAGCCACTTCCTAGCCCATGACTTTGGGCACTGACCTTGGTCAGCCCTTCCTCCCTATCCTCAGCTTTCTGATCCATAAAAATGAGGGGTTTTAGGTCCTCCTTCGCCTCCAGGGGTCTCCTCACTTAACATACACAAAGAGCGCTTTATTGAATTACACAGTTCCTGTTCTGTATTGGTAAGTAGTTCCTGGGTACATGTTCAAGAAAGTCCCAGTTTACTCCCATGAAATAAAGCTGTTATTTGACATGAAGTGTACAAGGCTTAAGGCTCATTTAACAACTCATAGCCCTCCTGTCTTTGGGAACTGTATCTGATTTACCTAGATTGGATTGTAGGCCCAGCTCTGCAGAAATCTCCATGGTGATGGTATCAGGATGCACAGACTGCCTGTCCCCGAGCCACTGGTATGGCCAGTCCTCCTTAGCCAAGGGCCTGGGACTTGAGGAGGCCTCTCAGGGGAAACAAGCCACTTTTCCATTTATTCTGTTTCTTTCTCAGAGTGGAACTGAAAAGTGGCCTCTGCTGGCCACTCTAGGAGGGGGGCTGAAAATGCCACACCAGGATTTCAAGCCATCCCTGCTGGGCCCTTTGTGAAGGCCCCCCTCAGGCAGCTCTCTGCATTCTGCAATCTGGGTTAGAACTTGGGTTTTGAGGCCAAATGTTGGTCCAGGGAACAGGCAGGAAGGAGGGGCTGAAACACCCACTGCCACCTTTCTGACATCATGATTACAGGCTTGTGTATTGAAGGGCATAACTTGTCTCTAGTGTCTTTGACCCTGGCCCACGCCCGTGGATCTGATGGAGAATGATTGGTTCAGCTGTAGCAGGCTTCGTGGATGGTTCCCATCACTCTTTTCCAGACTCTTCTCTCTTCTGTTTTGTCAGGCGGCAGAGAGAGACAATCAAAACCTGGAAGACAAAGTGCGATCTCTAAAGACCGACATTGAGGAAAGTAAATACCGACAGCGTCATCTGAAGGTAGAGTTGAAGAGCTTCCTGGAGGTGCTGGATGGGAAGATTGATGACCTCCATGACTTCCGCCGAGGCCTCTCCAAGTTGGGTACAGACAACTAGGGCTGGGCACAGACCTGGGCCCTGGATCATGAGTCCCACGTGTGTGTGTGTGTGATGAAATAGGACTAGGATGTTCTCCTGTTAGCATTGCTTCTGTAAGTGCAGGCGCAATTTGTCTTGTTTCCAAACCAGTTGTGCCGTCCACTCACTCCTCTCCAGAATAGAAATCTCTTGCTCCTCTGGCCTCACGAGGTTGTGGACAACTGGAAGATTCTGACTCAGGAATCCAGAACTAGGTCTACCTAAAATGTTTACGCAGTCAGGGCAGGGATGTTTATATCTTTCTTAAGGGCTGTTGCAACCATATGAACCGAAAAACAAGGTAATTTTCTAATTCAAGTATCAGTGTCCCCTTTACAACAGGCCTTTTTGCTCCTTTTACTGAATAGCATTTGGAGTACATGATTATCCACCAGGCTCCAGTCCATGGGGCAAGGAGGGAGTAACGTCTCTCACAGTAAACATTGAGTCATTTTAAAGCAACCGTTTAGTGTGGTGACTTATCTGGAGAAAGAAAGCAAGTTTCTGGGTGAATTTTCTGGTATGGGAATCACTTGTATCCACTATATCCCATCCTCCCTCAGTTTGTATGGTTGCGACAATATTCCTTTTGTTGGTTTTAATTTCTGAGCAGATGCTTGTGCTGTGGGAACAGCACATGGTGAGGGCGCCAAGCACACAGTGCCTGGCACAACGTAGGTGCTTAATAAATATTGTTCAATTAAACATTTAAACAGAATTTAGTGTTTTAATCAAACCCCACAAGTAGAGTCGAGACCCCTATTGAATGATACACCATCTTTTTTTTTTTTTTGTGCTGGGTAGTTATCAGGAATGAATACTACTGTGATCAAACCTGAGGCTCAGGTGGCCCTGGGGCAGGGAGGGTGGCAGCAGAAGCATCAGGGGCTGATCTGAGGCCCCCTGAGAGCCCAGCCATGGTGCTCTGTCCCTGGCACCATCACCTTCTTCAGGCATGGCATCTTGGAGGCTGAGGATTCCAGAACACTGGCTGTCCATGGTAGGGGCTACCCAGGGTTTCAGAACTAGGGTGCGATCCTATGGTAGGTTTGGATAATTGAGAAAGAAATCATCCAGCCCCATGATGGTGACAGAGTCCTGCTCAGAGGGTGGCCTTGGCCTTAGCACCAAAAAACTCTGCCCAGATTCACCTCTTGCCTCAGTTCCTGCTAAGGAAGGGCCTGGAGCCATAAACCTTTCCTCTGATACAGAGCTTCTCAGTGGGGCCAGTGACCACTTCAATGCCATTAGCATCCTTCATTGTGAAAGATTGCCTGTGTATGGCAAGATAAGTCCCCAGTCCTACATGTTTCTAAATGCCTTGGGCAGAAGAGACTCTGGTGTCACCTTACCTCTCTAGAACTACCTAAGAGAATTTGTTCCTCTAGAAATGTTTTCTCATAGGGAAATTCTTCCTGTCAAATTTGAATTAATGAGAAAACAGCCTGAGGAGGGGGTAGGGTCCACATAGACATGACCCAAGCCCCAAGGTGAGTTAGAGTCTGCTACTCCCCTTCCCCTAGCTGAGGCATCTCTCTGAGCAGGGAATTTTTGCCTGGGATATGAAAAGAAAGAAGTCTGTTGATTTGGAGCACCAAAGTACATTAGGGGAGACCCCCACAGGCTAAGTGGGGGTCTTAAATACACAAGGCTCTTAGGTCACCCCTGCTGTGATTCAGGCAAGGGAGCTGCTGGCCCTCTCCTCTCCTCAGAGCTCTAGATGGCTCTCAGGACAGTCAGTAGCAGATCCCGACTGGCTGTGCCAGGAGACCAGAAAGCTGGGCTGGCCATGACATGGTCCTGGGATCCAGCAGTAGGTAAAACAGATTCTTCCCAGGCCAACCTGGTCCTCCTACCAGCAACCTGGGCAAATGGCTTCCCAGGAGCAGTAGACACTGGAATCTCAAACACCCTTCACTGGAATCTTCAGATGACCACCACCTGTGCCCACAGGCAACTTATTAATCCAAAGCAGTGACTTTAAAAAATGTTGGAAGCCATCACACAGTGGGGTTGAGGTACTTGATGCCCATTTATCAAACTACTAAAGAGTTTGGCCAGCATCTTGTAGCTAATAGGTGAGGAGCCTAGTTTCCCTGTACTATTGGGGCTTATCCAGCCTTAGAACTGCTGCAGCCCAGGAGCTAACAGTGTTAGGGGGTCCTTTAAAGTGACAGTTGGTTCTGCAGTGAAAGCACAAAACTTGACATAAGCACTTTTCATCCCTTCAACTTTCCTCTAAAGCCCATAGAATTTCTTTACTTTCTTTTTATTTTCTCTTTTGGTGTGGGTGTGTGTGTGTGCGGGGGGGGGGAGGGTGGTACTGGGTATTTAACCCAGGGGTTCTGTACCACTGAGCTTCATCCCCAGCCCTTGTTGTTTATTTTGAGATTGGGCTGGCTAAGTTGCCAAGTCTGGCCTCAGATTTGTGATCCTCCTGCCTTAGCCTCCCAAGAGATTACAGCCATGCACCACCACACAAGACTTCATTTACTTTCTTTAAAAAAGAATGGTTCAGGAACAGCCTGGATAGTGAGTCAAGGGATTGGTCTTGTTGGACAGCCTTTGACACTATGAACAGGGGACTCAGTACAATGAAAATGACCCACTGAATTTGTCCCCACTTTCAGTTGAGTTGATATAATGTTCCCTCATTATGATGTCCAGCCCAGTCACTAGACTGTTGTCATGGCTGTAAGTCATGTAAGCTTTTCTCTCATAGCCTTTGGAGCCACATTGTGCTGTTCTCCTGGCTTTGACGTCTCCAAGACTGGCTTTCTTCACCTTGATTAGCTTTCTTTCTGCATTCATGAAACCTGGGCCTAAAAAGATGCCAAGTAAAACTTTAACCATGGTTGATCCTTAAAATAAACTTTGCTTTCTAGTCAAAATCCAGCTGGATGCATTTCCTAGATGGGATGGGAAAGAGAGAGGATGTCTTCTGGGTGCCCAGGGATTGTAAGCCCACTAGAGTGGCAGGTTGGGAAAGCACAGCCAGGCCTCTAGGGGAAGAGAGCCTGAATTCACTCAGGACATCTGTGTGCTCCATCAATTCCATCTTCCCTGCATGCCATCGCTTTAGATCTCAGATAAGAGAATTGGGCAGGGATTGTTGCCTGCGTTTTGCAGACGTCAAGTAGGGACAGTGACATGCCCAGGGTTACCCAGCTGTGATCAGCAACATGGGCTCTGCATCCAGGTCTCCTGGATTTTGGTCCACTATTTTTCCATGAGTCATGTCAATATTGTCCCTTTGGTGACCCATGGGTGCTAAGAGGGAAAAACTCTCTTGTATCCTCATAAGAGCACATGCAGTTATATTATCTTAATTCATGTCCACAGCAAAGGACAGTTTACAAGGAGTGTGTCAAAATTACATTTATGTTCATTACAGATAATAAGTTCCATTTTTGAATGATTCTGTCTTTTTAAGGATCCTTTTAAGAAAGTATCAGTTATAAACATGTCTCTGCCCTAAGAGGCCAGTTAACCCAGACTTGTCTTGAGTTCTTTATGGATGGCTTTCATTGAAGCAGGGTAGTCTGTTTAAAACAGGTGGAAGGCCCTGAGATTACAGAGACATAAATAGCATTCTAGTATGGGGTCACCTGTCCAGGAGATTAGCCAGTGCTGGGAAGGGAGCAGACTTGTTCAGTGCTTGGAGCCAGTCACATGGAGCCTGAGCAATACCCAGAAAGACTATTCTCAGGGGGCAGCTGGTCTCCACCCTGCAGGCTCCATGAGCACAGCTTCATGAAGGTGGTTGGTAGGAGTCTGACTTGTATATACCGTGTTTGATATGAAACACCAAATAAATGCAGTCAATGTGCTGCCCAGAAGAATCATGGTCTGCCACTTTAAAAGAGTTCTTTTTCTGTAGACAAGCCTCCTTTTCTATAGATCCAGGAACAGTTTTGGACAAGAGCCAAACACCGGGCATGCCAGGGACCATATTGTGGGACCTTCCGTGTGGCCAGGTGTACTCTTGGGAAAAAAGCAGCTACAATATGACTTGGTGTAGTATTTGAAAGATGCTGCCCTTTAAGAAGGAGCAGTTCTACTCTGTTAATAACAGAAAGTGAGTTGTTCGTGCCATTCATCCTTGTAGAAATTAAAATTCTTCTATTCACTGGAAACATGACAGGATTTTGAAGCATTTGGAATATAAACTGGAAGCATAAAAATTGGTGTCCATCTATTTTTAAAGTATATGCATGGTTTAAGCAGACCCAAATTTCTGAGTAAATAACTTTGCCAAAGAAAAATAGCATAACTTTGGGAATAGTGGGGGTGATGGCATGGAGAGGAATCCTGTAGAGAAATATGTTATTTACATGCCTTTACCATACACCTATCCCAAGAATACGGTTCCTGTTTAAAAGGGCCTAGCAAGAAAATGTTAAGAAATTTGAGCTGGATGGAATGTTGTAGTGAGCTTATGACTGTGTGTGTGTTGGGGAAGAAGCAGCAAGGGGAAGTAGGAAAAACAATAAGGAAGAGTTTTCAATAAAAAATATGTATACTTAAGAGGAGTCTTTATTTGAATATTTCTAGTGGTGGTGTTGTATGTTCTAGAATCCATTTACCAGGAGTCTGTGGGTCTTTTGTTTTGAGTACAATTGTATGGTGCCCTACTCTACACATACAATTGTATGGTGCAGAGCTTGCTGCAGGGTGGTCTCCTGGGCCACAGGGATCCCTGACACACCTGGCAGGAGCCCAGAGCAACCATGATGGAGTCCAAACTCTTGTACATTTTGGAAGATGATTGGTAGGATTCATGATATGCAGCTGTGGGAGATGTGTTTCTGTGTTTACCCTCTTGTACCACTCCCAATAGGAAGCCCTGACTTTAGACCAGTTGTTATAATAGTGTCCCATGATGTGAAAGGCAAGAAGATATATCTTATATCAAATATAAGAGTTTAGTAATAAGAAATAGGGTAGATAAGTGGACCCTCCCAAGAATACCTTTCTTTTTTCCTTTTTGAACAATTTTTAGGTACATAGGTAAAATATACTTTTTAAAAAAAAAAGAAATTTAAGTGAAAAGAAAAAAAAAACACCTTTATTGCACTGATTATAACCACTGTTAACATTTGATATATATCTGTTCAGACTTTTTTCTATGTGTCTGTATTTGATTAATTACTTTTTCCACGAAATATAATCATGTTATACATAATTTCTGTTATTTGCTTTTTCTCTACATTGTAAATATATTTCTATCTCAGTACATATGTAATCAATTGCTTTTTAACATCTACACAAGTTATACCTTGCTTGGATACTTAAGGCTATTTCCAAATTTTTACAGTTTAGTCAAGGACATGATGAAATTCTTCTGACATCTTTGTTAAACTTCTCAATATTTAGTTAGGATAATTTTCCAAAATTGGACTTGTTGGCTCAAAAATGTGCTTCCTCAAATCTGTGGCTTCTTTCCTTCCTGGGCATACAGGAGACTAATTCTCCAGCCCCCTCCTAGTTGTCCAGGGTTCTGTGACTAACTCCAGCCGATGAAATGTAAGCAGAAGATACATATGAAAATCTAGGCTCAGACCATGACATGCTCATGTGCAGTGCTCCAGTGTCTGTGTTGTCTTGCCTCAGCAAGTGATGATGTCCCCGGGTAGAGCCTCTGTTATCCTAGGTCCCTGAGTGACTAAGCAGGTCACTTCCTCCTTTTCCCTCACCCCCACCCACCAACCTG